TCTGTGGAGGAGGCTCGTGAAGGATGCTACTGGGCAGTTGGAGGTAGTCGCCCTCCAACAACAACGGAGGGCGGAGGAGCGACGCTCACAACAACGAGCGGAGCGCCGGGTGACTAAAGCACAGCAGGTTGGCACAGTAGGGGGGCACAGGTGGTGCATCAGCCAGTCATCTCGGTCAGTCGACCCGTGGCACCTGCTGGGTCTGCCCCGTGACCTGCCAGCGGGCGTTCGACACTTCACGTGGCTTCAGGGTGCACATAGCCTGGCACAAGCGTCGTGGTGACGTCACCGCCACTTAGTGGCGAATGGCGGTTGTTGTTGTTGTGCGTGTCTGTGTGTGTCTGTGTCTCTGTGTGCGTGTCTGTGTCTCTGTCTGCGTGCGTATCTGTGTGCGTGTCTGTGTGTGTCTGCGTGCGTGTCTGTGTGTGTGTCTGTGTCTCTGCGTGCGTGTCTGTGTCTCTGTCTGCGTGCGTGTCTGTGTCTCTGTGAGTGTGTGTGTGCCTGTGTGTCTTATGTGTGCGTGTCTGTGTCTCTGTCTGCGTGCGTGTCTGTGCGTGCTTGTGCGTGTCTGTGTGCGTGTCTCTGCATGTCTGTGTGTTTGCGTGCGTGTCTGCGTGCGTGTCTGTGTCTCTGCGTGCGTGTAACGTGAGGTCAGGGATCGCATCACCCTTGTTTATCTTAAGGATGCTAACAGGTGAGACGCTGCAGGCTACTCGCTTATAGGGGGGGGGCCGCCAATGTGGCTAGGAGATGTTGACTACTTTGCCTGGTACGCAGGAGGTCGTGGGTTCGATCCCGACCCTGACGCCTGCTGCTGCTGTATATTTGGAGTCTACGTGTCTCTCTCTCACCATCATCATCACCATGGTGGCTAGGAGATGTTAACTACCTCGCCTGGTACGCAGGAGGTCGTGGGTTCGATCCCGACCCTGACGACGCTTGCTGCTGCTGCTGCTGTAGATTTGGAGTCTGCGTCTCTCTCTCTCTCTCTCTCCCCGGTTTTCTCCCCTCCACGTTGAGAATCAACGTCACTCCTTTCGGAGTATTTGGCCAAATGACCGAAACTTCCACGCGATGATGGCGACTAAAAGCCGTCACTTGGTCGAGCTGCGTCTGCAATAAACGCCGACACAGCAGCTAAGTGTGGGGGGCTTACGTGGTAAACTAAAGTACTTTCGATTTAAAGCTTTCGTGACTGCAGGGATTCATGTTCTTGGTTCTTTCGGTAAAGTCACCGCCACGTTAGAAGGGAAACAATAAAATAAAAAAATATGTAAAACAATTAAATTCTCACGACGTTTCGACGGCAAACACAAGGCAATCGTCATCAGGTGTGAAAACCACAGCAAGAATTTTTTTTTTTCAAATTTTCTTGCCGCGGTTTTCACACCTGATGATGATTGCTTCTTGTGTTGCAGTCGAAACGTCGTGAGAATTTTATTGTTTTATGTTTTTTTTATTATTTTATTGTTTCCCTTCTAACGTGGTGACTTTACCGAAAGAACCAAGAATATTAAGGAGTTTAATTTTAGTTTAGTCTATGGGTTCGCCATGTGCCTCCTGCATGGGTCTCTCTATCTCTGTCTCTCTATGGGTCTCTATGTTGTCTCTATGGGTCTCTATGTTGCCTCTATGGGTCTCTGTTGGTCTCTGTGGGTGTCTCTGCATTATCTCTATGTATCTCTATGGGTGTCTGTGTCTCCATGCGTCGCTGTATCTCTCTATGGGTCTCTATGGGTCTCTGTTGGTCTCTGTGGGTGTCTCTGCATTATCTCTATGTATCTCTATGGGTGTCTGTGTCTCCATGCGTCGCTGTATCTCTATGGGTCTCTGTGGGTCTTTGTTTCTCTATGGGTGTCTCTATTCTTTGTATCGCTATGTGTCTCTGTATGTCTTTGTGGGTGTCTCTGCATTATCTCTATGTATCTCTATGGGTGTCTGTGTCTCCGTGCGTCGCTGTATCTCTCTATGGGTCTCTGTGGGTCTTTGTTTCTCTATGGGTGTCTCTATTCTCTGTATCGCTATGTGTCTCTGTATGTCTCTATGGGTCTCTCTGTATTGTCTCTATGTATCTCTATGGGTGTCTGTATCTCCATGCGTCGCTGTATCTCTCTATGGGTCTCTATGGGTCTCTGTGGGTCTGTGTGTCTCTATGGGTCTCTGTGTGTCTCTATGGGTCTGTCTGTGTCTCTAAGGGTCTCTATGCATCTCTATGGGTCTCTGTGTGTCTCTATTCTCTGTATCTCTGTCTCGATGTGTCTCTGTATGTCTCTATGGGTCTTTCTGTATTGTCTCTATCTCTATGGGTCTCTATGTTGCCTCTATGGGTCTCTGTTGGTCTCTGTGGGTGTCTCTGCATTATCTCTATGTATCTCTATGGGTGTCTGTGTCTCCGTGCGTCGCTGTATCTCTCTATGGGTCTCTGTGGGTCTTTGTTTCTCTATGGGTGTCTCTATTCTCTGTATCGCTATGTGTCTCTGTATGTCTCTATGGGTCTCTCTGTATTGTCTCTATGTATCTCTATGGGTGTCTGTGTCTCCATGCGTCGCTGTATCTCTCTATGGGTCTCTGTGGGTCTGTGTGTCTCTATGGGTCTCTGTGTGTCTCTATGGGTCTGTCTGTGTCTGTGTCTCTAAGGGTCTCTATGCATCTCTATGGGTCTCTGTGTGTCTCTATTCTCTGTATCTATGTGTCTCGATGTGTCTCTGTATGTCTCTGGGTCTTTCTGTATTGTCTCTATGTATCTCTATGAGTCTGTATGTTGCTTCTGTGTGTCTCTAAGGGTCTCTATGCATCCTTGTGGGTCTCTATGTATCTCTATGTGTCTCCAAGAGTATCTATGCATCTCTATGGGTCTCTATGAGTCTCCATATATCTCTCTCTGTCTCTCTGTGTCTCTCTGTGTCTACGTCTCTAAGGGTTTCTATGCATATCTAGGGGTCTCTATGGGTCTCGGTGGGTCTCTATGGGTCTCTCTGTGTCTCTCTCTGTGTCTCTACGGGTCTCTATGCATCTCTAGCGGTCTTTATGGGTCTCTGTGTCTTTGTGGGTCTCTGTGTGTCTCTGTGTGTCTCTGGGTCTCTCTGTGTCTGTGTTTCTAAGGGTCTCTATGCATCTCTATCGGTCTCTGTGTGTCTTTGTGGGTCTCTCTGTGTCTCTGTGTGTCTGTGTCTCTAAGGGTCTCTATGCATCCCTATGGGTCTCTGTGTCTTTGTGGGTCTCTCTGGGTCTCTGTGTGTCTGTGTCTCTAATGGTCTCTATGCATCTCTAGGGGTCTCTATGCATCTCTAGGGGTCTCCATGTGTCTATGTCTTTAAGGGTCTCTATGCATCTCTATGCATCTCTAGGGGTCTCTGTGTGTCTCCATGTGTCTATGTCTCAAAGGGTCTCTATACATCTCTATGGGTCTCTATGCATCTCAAGGGGTCTCTGTCTCTGCATCTCTAGGGGTCTCCGTGTGTCTCCATGTGTCTGTCTCAAAGGGTCTCTATACATCTCTATGGGTCTCTATGCATCTCTAGGGGTCTCTGTGTGTCTCTGTGGGTCTCTATGGGTCTCTGTGCATCTCTAGGGGTCTCCGTGTGTCTCCATGTGTCTGTCTCAAAGGGTCTCTATACATCTCTATGGGTCTCTATGCATCTCTAGGGGTCTCCGTGTGTCTCCATGTGTCTATGTCTCAAAGGGTCTCTATACATCTCTATGGGTCTCTATGCATCTCTAGGGGTCTCTGTGTGTCTCTGTAGGTCTCTATGGGTCTCTATACATCTCTAGGGATCTCTATGGGTCTCTATGCATCTCTAGGGGTCTCTGTGTGTCTCTATGGGTCTCTAGGGGTCTCTGTGTCTCTCTGTGTCTCTCTGTGTCTACGTCTCTAAGGGTCTCTATGCATATCTAGGGGTCTCTGTGGGTCTCTCTGTGTCTCTTAAGTTCTTTAGAAGCATTTGGATGCATCTATAAATTTCCCTGTTTTGACGACGACGATGACGACGATGACGACGATGACGACGATGACGACGATGACGACGATGATGGCGATGCCAAACAGCCACTGGCTTCGTGCGAATGCCCGGGCTCCCTCGCGACGAAAAATTATCTACGCAGAACCTCAGTTGTGGGGCCCTTACACCCGGAGAAATGACGAAGTAATAAAGATGAAGAAGATGAAGAAGATGATGTTGATGATGATGCCTCCTCAACCCACCCCCACCCCCCCCCGTGCGTCTCGGTGAGACAATTCTCATTCACGACCTTTCACGAGGTCACCTCGCGGGTTTGTGCGGCTCCCCGGGTAGACTTCTCGGTCGGGCCAATTCCTGGGCGGCCGATCCTCGCCGCAGACATCGCGACGCAGATCTCTCCCCTCCCCACCGCCACCGCCACCGCTCTCGCGTGTTGCCGACACGTCGCAGACTCCTGCGTACCAGGCGAGGGAGTCAACATCTCCTAGCCACCGTGATGATGATGATGAGAGAGAGAGACGCAAACTCCAAATATACAGCAGCAGCAGCAGGCATCGTCAGGGTCGGGATCGAACCCACGATCTCCTGCGTACCAGGCGAGGTAGTCAACATCTCATAGCCACCGTGATGATGATGATGAGAGAGAGACACGCAGACTCCAAATAAACAGCAGCAGGCATCATCAGGGTCGGGATCGAAGCCACGACCTCCTGCGCACCAGGCGAGGTAGTCAACATCTCATAGCCACCCTGGTGATGATGATGAGAGAGAGAGAGACTCAGACTCCAAATATACAGCAGCAGCAGCAGCAGGCGTCGTCAGGGTCGGGATCGAACCCACGACCTCCTGCGCACCGGGCGAGGTAGTCAACATCTCCTAGCCACCCTGGTGACGACGATGATGTTGACGGAGAGAGAGAGAGAGAGACGGACACCGCAGCGGCGGGCGTCGTCCGGCTCGTCGGCCCTAGCCGGCTCGCTAAACGGCCCCCCCACATCCCCACCCCACCCCACCCCACCCGCCCCCCCCCCCCCCCCCCAGCCGCCAGCAGGAGATGGAGGAGCGCCTCGTGGCGGAGGAGACGGCTCGTCGCGTCGAGGAGCTGGTGGCTCGTCGCGTCGAGGAGGAGCTGGAGCGGCGGCGGGAGGAGATCGAGCAGGAGGTCCTGCGCAGGGTGCACGACGCCAAGCGCGTCATGGAGCGCCAGATGTTGGACGAGCTGGAGAGGCAGCGGCAGCAGGAGGTGGCGGCCCAGAGAGCCAGAGAGGTGACGGACACGTGGGAGACACGCAGAGAGACACGCAGAGAGACACGCAGAGACACACAGAGACACACAGAGACCTACAGACTCTGTACACAGAGACCCACAGACTCTGGACACAGAGACACACAGACTCTGTACACAGAGACCCACAGACTCTGGACACAGAGACTCACAGACTCTGTACACAGAGACCCACAGACTCTGTACACAGAGACCCACAGATTCTGTGCACAGAGATACACAGACTCTGTACACAGAGACCCACAGACTCTGTACACAGAGACCCACAGACTCTGGACACAGAGACCCACAGACTCTGGACACAGAGACCCATAGACTCTGTACACAGAGACCCATAGACTCTGTACACAGAGACTCACAGACTCTGTACACAAAGACACACAGACTCTGTACACAGAGACACACAGACTGTACACAGAGACCCACAGACTCTGTACACAGAGACCCACAGACTCTGTACACAGAGACCCACAGACTCTGGACACAGAGACCCACAGACTCTGGACACAGAGACCCATAGACTCTGTACACAGAGACCCATAGACTCTGTACACAGAGACTCACAGACTCTGTACACAAAGACACACAGACTCACACAAAGACACGGACTCTGTACACAGAGACACACAGACTCTGTACACAGAGACCCACAGACTCTGTACACAGTGACCCACAGACTCTGTACACAGATACCCACAGACTCTGTACACAGAGACCCACAGACTCTGTACATAGAGACACACAGAGAGACACATACAGAGACACACAGAGAGACACACAGACACGCAGAGAGACGCAGAGAGACACACTAGAGACACGCAGAGACACAGAGACACGCAGAGAGATGCACAGAGACACACAGAGACACGCAGAGAGACACAGAGACACGCAGAGAGACACGCAGAGAGACACGCAGAGAGACACGCAGAGAGACACGCAGAGAGACACGCAGAGAGACACGCAGAGACACGCAGAGACACGCAGAGACACACAGAGACACACACAGAGACCCACAGACTCTGTGCACAGAGACCCACAGACTCTGTACACAGAGACACACAGACTCACACAAAGACACAGACTCTGTACACAGAGAGAGACTCTGTACACAGAGACCCGTAGACTCTGTACACAGAGACACACAGACTCACACAGACTCACACAGACTCACACAGAGACCCACAGACTCTGTACACAGAGACCCACAGACTCTGTACACAGAGACCCACAGACTCTGTACACAGAGACCCACAGACTCTGTACACAGAGACCCATAGAATCTGTACACAGAGACCCGTAAACTGTGTACACAGAGACTCACAGACTCTGTACACAGAGACCCACAGACTCTGTACACAGAGACCCACAGACTCTGTACACAGAGACCCACAGACTCACACAGAGACCCACAGACTCTGTACACAGAGACTCAGACTCTGTACACAGAGACCCACACACTCTGTACACAGAGACCCACAGACTCTGTACACAGAGACCCACAGACTCTGTACACAGAGACCCACAGACTCACACAAAGACCCACAGACTCTGTACACAGAGAGAGACTCTGTACACAGAGACCCACAGACTCTGTACACAGAGACCCACAGACTCACACAGAGACACACAGACTCAAACAAAGACACAGACTCTGTACACAGAGAGAGACTCTGTACACAGAGACCCACAGACTCTGTACACAGAGACCCACATACTCTGTACACAGAGACCCACAGACTCTGTACACAGAGACACACAGACTCACACAAGGACACAGACTCTGTACACAGAAACCCACAGACTCTGTACACAGAGACCCACAGACTCTATACACAGAGACCCACAGACTCTGTACACAGAGACCCGTAGACTCTGTACACAGAGACACACAGACTCACACACTCACACAGAGACACACAGATTCGGTACGCAGAAACCCACAGACTCTGTACACAGAGACCCGTAGACTTTGTACACAGAGACACACAGACTTTGTACACAGAGACACACAGACTCTGTACACAGAGCCCCGTAGACTCTGTACACAGAGACCCACAGACTCTGTACACAGAGACCCACATACTCTGTACACAGACTCTGTCCACAGAGACCCACAGACTCTGTACACAGAGACCCACAGACTCTGTACACAGAGACCCACAGACTCTGTACACAGAGACCCACAGACTCTATACACAGAGACCCACAGACTCTGTACACAGAGACCCGTAGACTCTGTACACAGAGACACACAGACTCACACACTCACACAGAGACACACAGATTCGGTACGCAGAAACCCACAGACTCTGTACACAGAGACCCGTAGACTTTGTACACAGAGACACACAGACTTTGTACACAGAGACACACAGACTCTGTACACAGAGCCCCGTAGACTCTGTACACAGAGACCCACAGACTCTGTACACAGAGACCCACATACTCTGTACACAGACTCTGTCCACAGAGACCCACAGACTCTGTACACAGAGACCCACAGACTCTGTACACAGAGACCCACAGACTCTGTACACAGACTCTGTACACAGAGACCCATAGACTCTGTACACAGAGACACACAGACTCTGTACACAGAGACCCGTAGACTCTGTACACAGAGACACACAGACTCACACAGAGACAGACTCTGTACACAGAGACCCACAGACTCTGTACACAGAGACCCATAGACTCTGTACACAGAGACACACAGACTCTGTACACAGAGACCCGTAGACTCTGTACACAGAGACACACAGACTCACACAGAGACAGACTCTGTACACAGAGACCCACAGACTCTGTACACAGAGACACGCAGACTCTGCACACAGACACACACAGACTCTGTACACAGAGACCCACAGACTCTGTACACAGAGACACACAGACTCACACAGAGACCCGCAGACTCTGCACACAGCGACACACAGACTCTGTACACAGAGACACAGAGACACACACAGAGACACACAGACTCTGTACACAGAGACACACAGACTCTGTACACAGAGACACGCAGACTCTGCACACAGACACCCACAGACTCTGTACACAGAGACACACAGACTCACACAGAGACCCGTAGACTCTGTACACAGAGACACACAGACTGTGTACACAGAGACCCGTAGACTCTGTACACAGAGACACACAGACTCTGTACACAGAGACCCACACACTCTGTACACAGAGACACACAGACTCTGTACAAAGACACACAGACTCACACAGAGACCCACAGACTCTGTACACAGAGACACACAGACTCACACAAAGACACAGACTCTGTACACAGAGACCCACAGACTCTGTACATAGAGACCCACAGCCTCTGTACATAGAGACCCACAGAGAGACACACACAGAGACACAGAGACACGCAGAGACAGAGACACGGAGCGCCAGATGCTGGACGAGCTGGAGAGGCAGCGGCAGCAGGAAGTGGCGGCGCAGAGAGCCAGAGAGGTGACGGACACGCGGGAGACACGCAGAGAGACACGCAGAGACACGCAGAGAGACACAGAGACACGCAGAGAGACACACAGACACACAGAGAGACACAGAGAGACACAGAGAGACACACAGAGACACACAGAGACATACAGAGACACACAGAGACACAGAGACACACAGAGAGACACAGAGAGACACAGAGACGCAGAGACACACAGAGAGACACGCAGAGAGACACGCAGAGACACACTAGAGACACGCAGAGAGACACGCCGGAGACACGCAGAGAGACACAGAGACACACTAGAGACACGCAGAGACACACTAGAGACACGCAGAGACACACTAGAGACACGCAGAGACACACTAGAGACACGCAGAGACACACTAGAGACACGCAGAGACACACTAGAGACACACTAGAGACACGCAGAGACACACAGAGACACGCAGAGACACACAGAGACACACAGACACGCAGAGAGACGCAGAGAGACACACTAGAAACACGCAGAGAGATGCACAGACACACAGAGACGCAGAGACACGCAGAGAGACACAGAGACACGCAGAGACACGCAGAGACACGCAGAAACACGCAGAGAGACGCAGAGAGACGCAGACACTCAGAGACACACAGGCACATACAGAGACACGCAGAGACACACACAGAGACACACAGAGACACACACAGAGACCCACAGACTATGTGCACAGAGACCCACAGACTCTGTTCACAGAGACCCACAGACTCACACAGAGACCCACAGACTCTGTACACAGAGACCCACAGCCTCTGTACACAGAGACCCACAGACTCTGTACACAGAGACCCACAGACTCTGTACACAAAGACCCACAGACTCACACAGAGACCCACAGACTCTGTACACAGAGACACCCAGACTCTGTACACAGAGACCCGTAGACTCTGTACACAGAGACACACAGACTCACACAGACTCACACAGAGACACACAGATTCTGTACACAGAGACCCACAGACTCTATACACAGAGACCCGTAGACTATGTACACAGAGACCCACAGACTGTACACAGAGACCCACAGACTCTGTACACAGAGACCCACAGATTCTTTACACAGAGACCCACAGACTCTGTACACAGAGACCCACAGACTCTGTACACAGAGACCCACAGACTCTGTACACAAAGACCCACAGACTCACACAGAGACCCACAGACTCTGTACACAGAGACCCACAGACTCTGTACACAGAGACTCACCGACTCTGTACACAGAGACCCGTAGACTCTGTACACAGAGACACACAGACTCACACAGACTCACACAGAGACACACAGATTCTGTACACAGAGACCCACAGACTCTATACACAGAGACCCGTAGACTATGTACACAGAGACCCACAGACTCTGTACACAGAGACCCACAGACTCTGTACACAGAGACCCACAGACTCTGTACACAGAGACACACAGACTCAGTACACAGAGACACACAGACTCTTTACACATTGTCACACAGAGACACACAAACTCACACAAAGACACAGACTCTGTACACAGCGAGAGAGAGACAGAGACACACAGAGAGACGCACAGAGAGATCCATAGACACAAAGAGACATATTTTTTTGCTGTTGGTAATGATGATGATGGTAATGGTGATGATGGTTATGGTTATGACGGTGGTTATGACGGTGGTAATGATGGTGATGGAAATGATTGCGATGATGGTGATGATGGCGGTGATGGGGATGGCGATGATGGTGATGATGGTAATGGTTATGACGGTGGTGATGATGGTGATGATGATGGCGATGATGATGATGATGATGGCGATGGTGATGGTGATGGCGATGATGATGATGGTAGTGATGATGGTGATGACGATGGTGGCGTTGGCGATGATGATGATGATGGTGATAATGGCGATGATGGTGATTGATGGGGATGGCGATGATGATGGGGATGGCGATGGTGATGATGATGATGGTGGTGATGATGATGGTGATGATGGCAGTGATGGTGATTGGTGGTGATGGGGATGACGATGATGATGATGATGGTCATGATGATGATGGTGATGATGGCGATGATGGTGATGGGGATGAGGATGATGATGGGGATGGCGATGATGATGATGGTGGTGTTGATGATGGCGATGGCGATGATTTCGATGACGGCGATGATTTCGATGATGGCGATGACGGCGATGATTGCGATGATGGCGATGACGGCGATGATGGCGATGGTGATGGCGATGATTGCGATGATGGCGATGATGACGGTGATGATGACGGTGATGATGACGGTGATGATTGCGATGATGGGCGACGACGGCGATGATGGCGATGATGGTGTTGTTGTAGGAGGAGGAGCGTAAGAAGCGGGAGGAGCTGGAAAGAATCCTGGAGGAAAACAATCGTAAGATTGCGGACGCACAGGCCAAGCTGGTATGTCACTGCAGTGCAGTACAACCACCACCGCCGCCCTGCGGCACACCGCCACACCAGCTGCTCGTTTGAGGCCGAGTCGACCTAGGGGAGGCACCAGAACCGGCTCGGATAATCGTCACCGGTGGTGTTGGTGGTGCCGTGAGCGGGAATGGAACTCGGGTCTCTGGGCTTGTTCGTAGCGAAGCGTAGCGCTACGCCACTGCCGCTCCCGCCACGCCACACGTACTGTCACACACACACTCACACACTGTCACACACACTCACACACTGTCACACACTCACTCACACACACACACTCACACACACTCACACACACACTCACACACTCACACACACTCACACACACACACACAGTCACACTGTCACACACACTCACACACACTCACACACACACACTCACACACACTCACACACACACTCACACACTCACACACACTCACACACACACAGTCACACTGTCACACACACTCACACACACACTCACACACAGTCACTGTCACACACACTGTCACACACACACTGTCACACACACACTGTCACACACACACTGTCACACACACACTGTCACACACACACTGTCACACACACACACACACACTCACACACACTCACACACACACTCACACACACTGTCACACACACACTCACACACAGTCACACACTGTCACACACACTCACACACTCACACACACACTCACACACACTCACACACACACACAGACACTCACACACACTCACACACACTCACGCACTGTCACACACGCACTCACACACACTCACACACACAGTCACACACAGTCACACACACTCACACACACACTCACACACAGTCACACTGTCACACACACACTCACACACACACACTCACACACACACTGTCACACACACACTGTCACACACACACTGTCACACACACTCACACACACACTCACACACACTCACACTCACTGTCACACTCACACACACTGTCACACACACACTCACACACAGTCACACACTGTCACACACACTCACACACTCACACACACACTCACACACACTCACACACACACACAGACACTCACACACACTCACACACACTCACGCACTGTCACACACGCACTCACACACACACTCACACACACTCACACACACAGTCACACACACACACTGTCACACACACACTCACACACTGTCACACACGCACTGTCACACGCACGCACTCACACACACTCACACACTCACACACACTCACTCACTCACACACACTCACACACTCACACACACACACTCACACACACACTCACACACACACTCACACACACTCACTCACACACTGTCACACACGCACTCACACACACACTCACACACAGTCACACACACAGTCACACACACACACACTGTCACACACACACTCACACACTGTCACACACGCACTGTCACACACTCACACACACTCACACACACTCACACACACTCACACACACACTCACACACAGACACTCACACACAGACACTCACACACACTCACACACTGTCACACACGCACTCACACACACACTCACACACAGTCACACACACACTCACACACACACTCACACACACTCACACACACACACACTCACACACTCACACACACTCACACACTCACACACACTCACACACACTCACACACACTCACACACATGCACTGTCACACACACTCACACACACACTCACACACTCACACACACTCACACACACTCACACACACTCACACACACTGTCACACACACACTCACACACACTCACACTGTCACACACACACACTCTCACACACACACACTCACACACACTCACACACACTGTCACACACACACTCACACACACACACTGTCACACACACTCACTCACACACACTCACACACACTCACACACACTCACACACACACTGTCACACACACACTCACACACACTCACTCACACACACACTCACACACACACTCACACACACTGTCACACACACACTCTCACACACACACACTCACACACACTCACACACACTGTCACACACACACTCACACACACACACTGTCACACACACTCACACACTCACACACACACTGTCACACACACTCACTCACACTCACACACACTCACACACACTCACACACACACTGTCACACACACACTCACACACACTCACACTGTCACACACACACTCACACACATGCACTGTCACACACACTCACACACACACTCACACACTCACACACACTCACACACACTCACACACACTCACACACACTCACACACAGTCACACTCACACACACACACTCACACACACTCACACACACTCACACACACTGTCACACACACACTCACACACAGTCACACTGTCACACACACTCACATACACACACACTCACACACTCACACACACTCACTCACACACACACAGTCACACACACTCACACACACTCACACACTCACACACACTCACACACACTCACTCACACACACACAGTCACACACACTCACACACACTCACACACACTCACACGCACTGTCACACACACTCACACACTCACACACACTCACTCACACACACACACAGTCACACACACTCACACACACTCACACACACTCACACGCACTGTCACACACACTCACACACTCACACACACTGTCACACACACACTCACACACACACTGTCACACACACACACTCACACACACACTCACTCACAGTCACACACACTCACACACACTGTCACACACGCACTCACACACACACACTCACACACACTCACACACACACTCACACACACACGCACTCACACACACTCACACACACACTCACACACAGTCACACACACAGTCACACACACACACTGTCACACACACGCACTGTCACACACACGCACTGTCACACACTCACACACTCACACACACTCACACACACTGTCACACACACACTCACACACACTCACACTGTCACACACACTCACACACACTCACACACACTCACACACACTCACACACTCACACACAGTCACACACTCACACACACACTCACACACACTCACACACACTCACACACACACTCACACACACTCACACACACTCACACACACACTCACACACACGCACTGTCACACTCACACACACTCACACACACTCACACACACTCACACACACTCACACACACTCACACACTCACACACACTCACACACACACTCACACACACTCACACACACTCACACACACTGTCACACACACGCACTCACACACATGCACTGTCACACACACGCACTGTCACACACACACACACTGTCACACACACGCACTGTCACACACACTCACACACACGCACTCACACACATGCACTGTCACGCACACACTCACACACACACTCACACACACACTCACACACATACTCACACACACGCACTGTTACACACACTCACACACACACTCACACACACTCACACACACTCACACACACACTCTCACACACACTCACACACGCTCACACACACGCTCACACACACGCTCACTCACACACACGCACTGTCACACACACACACTCACACACACACTCACACACACACTCACACACACGCACTGTCAGACACACACACTCACACACACACTCACACACACTCACACACGCACTGTCACACACACACTCACACACACTCACACTCGCACACACGCACTGTCACACACACTCACACACACACACTCACACACACACACTCACACACACTCACACACACAGTCACACACAGTCACACACCCTCACACACACTCACACACACTGTCACACACACGCACTCACACACACATGCACTGTCACACACACTGTCACACACACACACACTGTCACACACACACTGTCACACACACACTGTCACACACGCACTGTCACACACACGCACTGTCACACACACGCACTGTCGCACACACACTCACACACACGCACTCACACACATGCACTGTCACACACACACTCACACACACAGTCACACACACACTCACACACAGTCACACACACTCACACACACACTCACACACACACTCACACACACACTCACACACACTCACACACACTCACACACATGCACTGTCACACACACTCACACACACGCACTCACACACATGCACTGTCACACACACTCACACACAGTCACACACAGTCACACACACTGTCACACACACGCACTGTCACACACACTCACACACTCACACACACTCACACACACACTCACACACAGTCACACACACTCACACACACTCACACACACACACTCACACACACTCACACACACGCACTCACACACATGCACTGTCACACACACTCACACACTCACACACACACACACTGTCACACACACTCACACACACTCACACGCACTCGCACACACACTCACATACACACGCACTGTCACACACACGCACTGTCACACACACTCACACACACACACTCACACACATGCACATACACTGTCACACACACGCACTGTCACACACACTGTCACACACACACACACTCACACAGTCACACACACTCACACACACTCACACACACACACACGCACTGTCACACACATTCACACACATACACACGCACACACACATGCACTGTCACACACACACTCACACACGCACACACTCACACACAGTCACACACAGTCACACACACTCACACACACTGTCACACACACCCGCACTGTCACACACACAGACACTGTCACACACACGCACTGTCACACACGCGCACTGTCACACATGCACTGCGACACACACTGTCACACGCACTTTCACACACACACACTCACTGTCACACACACTCACTGTCACACACACGCACTCACACACATGCACTGTCACACACACTCACACACACTCACACACACTCACACACACACACGCACTGTCACACACATTCACACACATACACACACACACACATGCACTGTCACACACACGCACTGTCACACACATGCACTGTCACACACACACATACACACGCACTGTCACAGACACGCACACACACGCACTGTCACACACACTCACTGTCACACACACACACGCACTGACACACGCACTGTCACACACACTCACACACACACTGTCACAGACACGCACTCTCACGCACATACACTCACACACACGCACTGTCACACACACACGCACTCTCACGCGCACACACACTGTCACACACACGCACTGTCACACACATGCACTGTCACACACGCACTCGCACACACACGCACTGTCACACACACATGCACTGTCACACACACTCACACACAACAACAACCGCCATTCGCCACTAAGTGGCGGTGACATCACCACGACGCTTGTACCAGGCTATGTGCACCCTGAGGCCACGTGAAGTGTCGAACGCCCGCTGGCAGGAGGTCACGGGGCAGACCCAGGTGCCACGGGTCGACTGACTGAGATGACTGGCTGATGCACCACCTGTGCCCCCTACTGTGCCAACCTGCTGTGCTTTAGCCACCCGGCGCTCCGCTCGTTGTTGTGAGCGTCGCTCCTCCGCCCTCCGTTGTTGTTGGAGGGCGACTGCCTCCAACTGCCCAGTAGCGTCCTTCACGAGCCGATCTTGACACCGCTGGTACCAGTCATCGGCAAGTCCACTCAGCTCCACGTCCTCCTGTACCACATCACTCCATCTCTTCTCTAGCCCGTGCCGCGCCTGCTTAGCCCCCTCAATCCGGCCGAACAAAAGCTGTTTCGGCATGCGGTGGCTGGGCATTCGGGCTACATGACCCAGCCATCGCAGCCTTCCCCGCCGTAGGAGCGCACCAATGGGACCTTGCCCAGATCTTTCAAGGATTTGTGAGCTCCTCACGCAATCCAGTCTGGTTAAACCCAGGATGGATCGTAGGCAGGCCAGCCTAAATGTTTCTAACCAGTGACGATGTTCCATTAGGGGGGTCCACGTTTTGCAAGCTTAGAGAAGGGAGGGAATGACCGTGGCCGAGAAGACCTGAAGCTTAGTGCGGAGCGACAGACCAGGTAGCTTCCACACAGCGTTACGCAACCGATTAAAAGATAATGCCGCTCGACTGATTCTGAGTGAGACCTCTGCTGTTAAACTGGAGCCAGTCATAAGCACACTGCCCAGGTATGGGAAACTCTCCACTCTCTCTACAACTGCCCCATCACCGATTGGGAGTTGTGGGGGTGGAGTGTCCGATGGTACAAAATACCCAGGCAGGTGCTTAATTTTGGTGGGGCTGATGGTAAGGCCCCACCTCTTAGTGGCATGCTCCAGTCTCAGCAGCAGCTTCTCCAACTCCTCCTCTGAATGAGCAGCTATTACCAAATCATCAGCATACATAACGTGGTTGAGCAGTAGGGAGCCATCCCTTGACCGAACCTGGGCATCGATCAGCCTCCCATTATATCTGTACCATATGGAGATTCCCCTGGTACAGCTATTGGAGGCTTCACGAACTACGTGGTCAAAATAGATGTTAAATAATGTGGGAGCCAGAGGACATCCCTGTCGCACCCCAAGGTGTACAGGGAATGGCTTTGACTCCTGGCCACATAGTTTTACCCGGGACCGCTCACCTTCATGAAGGTCCTTAATGATCGTGAGCAGAGACTCAGGTACTCCAAAAGCACGAAGAACAACCCAGAGCCCAGGCCTACTGATGGTATCATAGGCCTTGACCAGGTCAATAAAGCAGAGATGTAGGTCTTGTTGGAATTCCTACACCTCTGCTGTAGCAGACGGACAGAAAATATGGCATCTGTGCAGGACCGCGCTTTCCTGAAACCGCATTGGGGCTCCGCAAGCCTCTCCTCAGCGTGCCTGGCAAGGTGATGCTGAATAATCCTTGCCAGGACCTTTCCCGGCACACTGAGGAGTGAGATGCCCCTGTAGTTGTTACAGTCTGTGCGGTCCCCCTTCTTAAAAAGGGGGACCACCAGGGCATCCTTCCAATCCTGCGGAACCCGTCCAGTGGTCCAAACCGTTGTTATGATGTCATATAGGGCAGTCTGTGCACAAACGCCACCCTCCCTCAGCATTTCGCTTGGCAGATCATCTCTGCCCGCTGCCTTTCCTGGTCTCAGACTCCGGATCGCCTTCAGTACTTCCTAAACAGATGGCACCTCACCCAGCCACTCACAGGGGGTGACTTCTTCCAATATTTGAGGCACTGCAGCCTCAGCAGGGTCATCCTCACTTTGTGCCACGATATTTTCCTGGCTGAGGGATTTTCCCTCCCCCAGGACCTCAGAAATGCTCAGCAAATCTACAAACCTGTTCCTGGGGGTCGGAGATTGGATCACCGTTTTTTCCCCTAATGATGGTAATAGGTGTGGCGCTGCAGGTTACTTTTTTGATGGAGTTAAATAGAGATTTGTGATCACGGGCCACTGAGGCAGACTCCATCTCCTCAGCAACCCGCGACCACCACCCATCCTTGCAGCGCCTCACGGCTCTCCGAACCTCCGAGCGAAGGCTGCGGTAAGCCTCCTCATTCTCTGACGTGGGATTCTGTAGCCGATGACAGTGGGCCTGTCGCTTTTTCTCAACCATCCTGAACACCTCCTCTGTCAGCCAGGGTCTCTGGGGCGGTCTGGACCGCGTACCCAAAGCAGCCATTGCAGCTGCATGAGTCACAGTCCTAAACCTCGCCCATTTACCCTCGACATCAGGAGGAGTCGGGGACGATGCCAATCCCAGCCGCAAGCGATGATGAAATTTTCGCTTGCAACTTTCATCAGATAACTGAGACCAGGCCACTTTAGGTTGGAATGGGGTCTTGGGTGTACACCCACCACCGGAGTGGAAGAATGGCAGGCGCATATTACAGATGACTAGTCGATGGTCAGAGGGCAGATCAGCTCCACGATAGGTCCGGGTGTCAAGGACATGGGCTCGCATCCGCTGGTCCGTCACTATGTAGTCCAGCAGATGTTCTTGCTTGGACCCGGCATGCATCCATGATGTTGTGTGGATGCGCCGATGCCGGAACAGCGTGTTGGTAGTTACAAGCCCATGGACTGCACAAAAATCTAGCAGCCTCCTACCGTTGTTATTGAGCTGATCTGGCCCATGCCCTCCAATCACTCCAGACCAGGTGCCAGTATCATGACCAACTCGGGCATTGAAGTCACCCAACATGATGACTCTATCCCGAGGGGCCACTTTAGCCAGCACCTGTGACAGGAGGTTATAGAAGGCATCTGACTCATCGGCTTTGCCTGCATCCCTCCACGGATGTTCATCTTCGGTGGGGGCATAAGTAACCACGACCACCATTCCTCACCTCCGGTTGATGGGAAGGCGAGCCCAAAGTAGCCTGGGGCTTACAGCTTCCCACACCTCACTGCCACGCTCCCACGCCCCCTTCATTCTTTTGTTCAAAAGAAGAGCCACACCCTGTTGTTTGGCAGTCTGCTGCCCCGAGTAGAGGACTGTCCACCCCTCATGGTGGCAGGAGCCAGAGCCGGTCCACCGGACCTCCTGAATGCCGCATAGATCCAGGCGGTACCGGTCCAGCTCCCGACAGAGGAGTGGCAGCCTCTCCTCCGCAGTGAGCGTTCGAACATTCCACGTGGCCACCCGTAGTGGCTTTTCGTTATTTCTGGAGGAACCCCGAGGGTAGATATTCAATCTCCTGGCTCCGTCAATTGGGGTTTGGCCAGGAGACGTCATAGACGCCTGGCCCCCCAGGGCCTCTGGCACAAGCTTATTAGTTACATATTTCAGTTTGACTCGTGGTTTAGTGGTAATTAATTGAAGGTGGAGGGGTTACCAGCCCCTCGCACCCGTCCAGAGCACACACACGCACTGTCACACACACGCACTGTCACACACACACACTGTCACACACACACACACACACTGTCACACACACGCACTCGCACACACACACACACATGCACTGTCACACACACACTCACACACGCACTCTCACACACACTCTCACACACACACTCACACACACGCACTGTCACACACGCGCAGTCACACACGCACTGTCACACACGCGCAGTCACACACACGCACTGTCACACACACTCACTCTCACGCACACACACGCACTCACTGATGTCTTACATGTGTGTGCGTGCACATGCGTGCGTGTGCAACCAGTCCCGGGCCTTCACTAGGTCCACTCGGTGTTTGCGTAGTAGCAAACACCACCACCCACCCACCCCACCCCACAACACCCGCACCACCCACACCAACCACACCAACCACACCACCCACACCACCCACACCACCCACACCACCCCACACCACCCACACCACCCACACCACCCACACCACCCCTGTGTGTGTCACAGTGCCTGGCCTCCGTTGCTGCGGGGCTAGCGGGGGGGGTGCCTTGCTGCTGCCCCTCGCCGCTTGCCCCGACACTCCGCTAACAGCCGCTACGTGGGTGGTGGTGGTGGTTGTGGTGGTGGTGGGCGTGGTGGTGGTGGTGGTGGTGGGCGTGGTGGTGGTGGTTGTGGTGGTGGTGGGCGTGGTGGTGGTGGTGGGCGTGGTGGTGGTGGTGGGCGTGGTTGTGGGCGTGGTTGTGGGCGTGGTGTTGGTGGGCGTGGTGGTGGTGGTGGTGGGCGTGGTGGTGTTTGGCGTGGTGGTGTGCGTGGTGTTGGTGGTGGTGGTGTTGGTGGTGGTGGGCGTGGTGGGCGTGGTGGTGGTGGTGTTGGTGTTGGTGGGCGTGGTGGTGTGTGTGGTGGTGGTGGTGGTGTTGGTGGTGGTGGGCGCGGCACCTTTGTGCGTCTTGAGCGAAGGCGGAGGAGCAGCTGCGCATCGTGGAGGAGCAGCGGAAGATCCACGAGGAGCGTGTGAAGCTGGAGAAGGAGAAGGAGCGGCAGAAGAAGGAGGAGCAGAAGCTGATCCTGGGCAAGGGGAACACGCGGCCACGACTCTCCTTCAGCCTCAAGACTCCCTGAGAGAGTGGGAGGGGAGGGAGGGCACGGAGAGAGAGAGAGAGAGAGACACGCGGAGACACACACGCGGAGACACACACGGCTAGAGAGAGAGAGACACGCGGAGACACACGCGGAGAGACACACGGAGAGAGACACACGCGGAGATAGAGAGACAAGGAGAGAGAGACACACGGAGAGACACGGAGAGAGAGACACGCAGAGAGAGACACGCAGAGAGAGATACATGGAGAGACACACGGAGAGACACATGGAGAGAGATACACTGAGAGAGATACACTGAGAGAGATACACGGAGAGAGATACACGGAGAGAGATACACGGAGAGACACGCCGAGAGAGAGAGACACGGAGAGAGATACACGGAGAGAGACACGCGGAGAGACACAGAGAGGGAGACACGGAGAGACACGCGGAGAGACACACATAGAGGGAGACACGGAGAGAGAGACGCGGAGAGACACACAAAGAGACACACGGAGAGACACACAGAGAGGGAGACACGGAGAGACACGCCGAGAGACACGCGGAGAGAGACACGCCGAGAGACACGCGGAGAGAGGGAGAGAGACACGGAGAGAGAGACACAGAGAGAAACACGCGGAGAGACACACGGAGAGGGAGACACGCGGAGAGACACGCGGAGAGAGACACACGGAGAGATACACGGAGAGAGATACACGGATAGAGATACACGGAGAGAGATACACGGAGAGACACACGGAGAGGGAGACATGCAGAGAGACACACGGAGAGAGAGACACACGGAGAGAGAGAGATACACGGAGAGATACACGGAGAAAGAGTTACACGGAAAAAGAGATACACGCGGAGAGAGACAGACACGCAGAGGGGACACACGGAGACAGGCAGACAGACGCACGGAGACACACGGAGACATGCAGAGAGACACACGGAGACACACAGAGACACACAGAGACACACGGAGACATGCAGAGAGACACACGCAGAGAGACACGCAGAGAGACACGCGTAGATACGTTCAGACACACCCATTGCATACACACAAATGTACTCTCACACCTGTATACACCTACGGCCCCGTACCAGGCTAGGTTCACCCCGGCCTCCCATCCTCTGCTGGGCCACTGTCCCCATGTTGCTGTAAATGGAACCCGATTCCAGACCCCCCTTTTGTCTCTCTCCTGCAAGAGGTCCCATTCTTCCGTGTCATCCTCACCACCACCAACATCATCATGATAACCACCATCACCACCACCATAACCACTACCATCATCATAACCACCATCATAACCACCACCACAACCACTAACATCATCACCATCACCACCATCATCATAACCACCTTAACCACTACCGCCACCATCATCACATTGATAGCCTACCACCATCATCACCACCATCACCACCATCATCACCAACACCATCACCACCACCATCACTATACCTCCATTACCACCACAGCCACCATCACCACCATCACCACTACAATCACTATCTCCCTTCACCACAGCTACCATCATCACCACCACCACCAACATCGCCATCATCACCATCACCACCGTCACCACAATCACTATCTCCCATCACCACCACCATCACTATACCTCCATCACCACCACAGCCACCATCACCACCACCACAATCACGATCTCCCATCACCACAGCCACCATCATCACCACTACCACCACCAACATCGCCATCATCATCGCCACCACCATCACCACCACCATCATCACCACCACCATCACTACCTCCATCACCACAGCCACCATCATTACCACTACCAACACCATCACCAACACCACCACCATCACGCCCAGCATAGGGTGAGTTACTTGTGGGTCAAGCGATGTGGGTGGTGAGGGGCGGGCAGGGGGGGGGGGAAATTTTGTGACGGTGGTCGGGAGGTGAACCCAGGCGAGTGCGGTGAAGTTCGGCGTTTGCCGCGCGAGTCCGGAGCCTCGAGGAGAGGGGGGGGGGAACGCGTGAACGCTCGTACGTGGACACGTGGACACTCACACGTGTACGTGGACACGTGGACACTCACACGTTTACGTGGACACTCGTACGTGGACACTCGTACGTGGACACTCGTACGTGGACACTCGTACGTGGACACGCGGACACGTGGACACGCGGACACGTGGACATGCGGACATGTGGACATGCGCACGTGGACACGCGGACACGTGGACACTCGTACGTGGACACGCGCACGTGGACACGTGGACACGCGCACGTGGACACGTGGACACGCGCACGTGGACACGCGCACGTGGACACGCGCACGTGGACACGCGCACGTGGACACGCGCAGGTGGACACGCGCAGGTGGACACGTGGACACGCGCACGTGGACACGCGCAGGTGGACACGTGGACACGCGCACGTGGACACTCACGCGCACGTGGACACGTGGACACTCGCACGTGAACAAAGGCGCACGTGAACAAAGGCGCACCTACACGTGAACAAATGTACACGTGAACAAGCGTGCACGTGAACAAACGTACACGTGAACAAGCGTGCACGTGAACAAGCGTACACGTGGACAAACGTACACGTGAACAAACGTACACGTGAACACGCGCAAATGACAACCGAGATGCATTCACATAGAAGCACAGAGTCGCAACAAAGACAAAGCTCCCCCGTGTAGCCTCTAACAGGCTGTAGGGGCAAGTGCTGTGAAGGCTACCGGCACTGTGGCACACGAGGGGGTGGATGGCTACCAGCACCACGCCTGGCCGCCTTTGTCTCCCCAGTTTACCACAGCACCAGGTGCTCGTTTGAGGCCGGGTTGACCTAGGGGAGAGCCGGCACCAGTTAAAATATTCGTCAATGTTCGCGAGCGGAAATCGGACACTGAGACGAAGACAAAGACAGACACACAACAACAACAACAACCGCCATTCGCCACTAAGTGGCGGTGACGTCACCACGACGCTTGTGCCAGGCCATGTGCACCCTGAGGCCACGTGAAGTGTCGAACGCCCGCTGGCAGGAGGTCACGGGGCAGACCCAGGTGCCACGGGTCGACTGACAGACACACAGACACAGACACACACACAGACACGCACACACACAGACACGTATACACACAGACACGTATACACACACAGACACGCACACAGACACATACGCACAGACACATGCACGCACACACAGACACACAGACACGCACACAGACACATACACACAGACACATACACACAGACATACACACAGACACGCACACACATACACACACAGACACGCATACACACACAGACACACACACAGACGCGCACACACACACAGACACGCACACAGACACATACACACAGACACATGCACGCACACACACAGACACATACACACAGACACGCAGACGCACACAGACACATAGACACATACACACAGACACGCACACACAAGACACGCACACAGACACGCACACACATACACACAGACACGCACACACACACAGACGCGCACACACACACAGACACGTATACACAGACACACGTACACACACAGACATATACACACACAGACACGCACACAGACACGCACACAGACATACACACAGACAGACACACACAGACAGACAGACACCGTGTGTAGTTTTTCTGTTTGGGGGTGGGAGGGGGGGCTGGCGAGGGGGGGGGCTGTAGGGGGAGGGTTGGGGGGGGGGTCAGGAGGAGTGAGGCTCGGGACTCGTTTTGTAACGGACTCCTCGGTCATTCTCGTCGTGAACGTCGTCGTGAACGTCGTCGTCGATGAATGTCTTGAACGTGAACGTCGTCGTGAACGTGAACGTCGTCGTGAACGTGAACGTCGTGAACGTGAACGTCGTCGTGAACGTGAACGTCGTCGTGAACGTGAACGTCGTCGTGAACGTGAACGTCGTGAACGTGAACGTCGTCGTGAACGTGAACGTCGTGAACGTGAACGTCGTCGTGAACGTGGTCGTCGTGAACGTGAACGTCGTGAACGTCGTCGTGAACGTCATCGTGAACGTGAACGTCATCGTGAACGTCGTCGTGAACGTGAACGTCGTGAACGTGAACGTCGTCGTGAACGTCGTCGTGAACGTGAACGTCGTCGTGAACGTGAACGTCGTGAACGTGAACGTCGTCGTCGTGAACGTCGCGAACGTCGTGAACGTCGTCGTCGATGAACGGTCGTGAACGTCGTCGTGAACGTCGTGAACGTCGTCGTGAACGTCGTGAACGTCGTCGTGAACGTCGTGAATGTCGCGAACGTCGTCGTCGATGAACGGTCGTGAACGTCGGAGTTCGTCGGTGGTGGTGGTGGCGGCGGCGGCGTCGGTGGCTGCTGCTGTGCCACGCGGTTGCCAATTAAAGAGCTCCTCACGACGACGACGACTCCACCACCGCCGCTCCGCCTCGCTGCTTGATCACTCGCTCGGTAGTCAACGTGCACGGGGTGGTGGTGGTGGTTGTGCACCGTGGTGGTGGTGGTTGTGCACAGTGGTGGTGGTGGTTGTGCACAGTGGGGGTGGTGGTGGTGGTGCACAGTGGGGGTAGTGGGGGTGGTTGTGCACCGTGGTGGTGGTGGTGGTGCACAGTGGTGGTTGTGGTTGTGCACGGTGGTGGTAGTGGGGGTGGTTGTGCACGGTGGTGGTTGTAGTTGTGCACAGTGGTGGTGGTTGTGCACGGTGGTGGTGGTTGTCCACCGTGGTGGTTGTGGGGATGTTTGTGCACAGTGGTGGTGGTGGTTGTGCACGGTGGTGGTTGTGCACGGTGGTGGTTGTGCACGGTGGTGGTTGTGCACGGTGGTGGTTGTGCACGGTGGTGGTTGTGCACAGTGGTGGTTGTGCACAGTGGTGGTTGTGCACAGTGGTGGTTGTGCACAGTGGTGGTTGTGCACAGTGGTGGTTGTGCACAGTGGTGGTTGTGCACAGTGGTGGTTGTGCACAGTGGTGGTTGTGCACAGTGGTGGTTGTGCACAGTGGTGGTTGTGCACAGTGGTGGTTGTGCACAGTGGTGGTGGTTGTAGACCCCATTCAAACCCACATTGGCCTGGTCTCGGCTATCTCATGAAAGTTGCAAGCGAGAATTTCATCATCGCTTGCGGCTGGGGTTGACATCGTCCCCCACTCCTGAT